ATAGTTAGATTTCTTTCTGTCATCACATATTTGACCCCCTTTACCCCATTCACCCTCCTCTTCCACCTCCCCCCTACCCTCTGATATATGAATTATTTTAACAGATCTGCGGCACCAAAGAATTACTACAGAAAAAATTATATGTATAATTACATCAAAAGTATGACTCCTAAAATTTAGCAAGCCTTCTTCTCTCTTTAATTGTGGCCCTTGATGTGGTTAGTTGTTCTGCTATATGTTTCATCTTTATGGCTCAGAAACTAGAAAAATATGGCTATGCTCACCATCAGACAGATTAATTTCATTGAAGTGAAATGAATATCTTTTTGACATGTGCCACTGTGATGTAGAGGTGATTTTAATGGTCTCCTGAATCCTTTAAGGAGCCTGGTAGTGAAGCTCCAGCTCATGTTCGGCTAATATGGCGAGTGGCTTAAATGAGTTGAGCTCTGATATGGAAACATGCCTTTAAAAATGAACTAAATAACACTTGCATTTTATTAGAAAAAGAAAGCATTTATTCTTACAAATAGGACACCTAAAAATGCATTGACTTTGGTGGCAATGCTGTGTTCAGGTGTAATAAAATTGATGAGCCCATATAATAAAATTTATAGAACCAGAGTGGATTCAATTTATTTGAATATGCTCAGTTATGTTTTTGTTTATTCCCATAGCAGATGTTTAATTTACAAACCAGGCAATTACGACAGCTCTTCCAAACAAATAAGAGCAGATTAGTCAAACGTTCACATCAATTTTTATGTTTATCATTAGTTTTATGAGTTGTCATGAATATTCAGAGGTAAGAAAAACTATCATTATGGTACCTGGAAAACCTCAAAATGGTGTTTTGCATCTCTAAATGCTGTATTCCCTTTTTGATAAAGCTATTAATGTGTGTTGTCTCTTATTACAAGTTGGGCTTACAGGCTGCAATGCAAAAAGTATTTTTCTCCCAAGAGATCTTATATATTCTAATCAATGTGCTGATGGCATTTTTGTGGAAAGTATGTAAAAATGTATAGGTGATCTTGTTTTAATTTTTACTATGCCGATGAAGACATCTTTGTGTATTCTGGAAAATTACCATTAGATTTTATAAAATTTAAATTTTTACTCGAAAATAGCTCACCAAGCTTTATTTCTAAGTTGTATTTTTTTTCCTATTCCTGAAACACTGTTTGTTGTACTAAGAGGAAGTTTTGTAATCCCAGACATCAGACCTGTTGTGACTCTTAATATGAACCTATAGACAGTAGGTCTTAACCGTTTATGAGGGAAATTCTCACATAGCAGTTTTATTTTTCTTTCTGGTGTTTAAACTGTCAGAATAAAAGGCTGTAGCTCCATTATGAATCAGTAAAACTACATGGCTTCATCCATAAACAAGGAGGAGATATTTCCAGATTGGCTGCTTTTGAATATATTGTACTTTTACAGGCTCTGCTCTGAAAGCAGTGAAATGTTCTCAGTAGCCTAACTAGATTCCCACAATGCATTTTTCCCCAATCCATTGTAATGGCATATTTCCTGTTGTTGATCAACATTCAGACTAAAAAGAAAATCAGGAGATCGATATGTTAAAATACCTTTAGAAGAAACAGCATCAATAGAAATATTTTTAGTGTAAGTTATAATAAATGTTGAAGCAGAACCTGGTAGAAAACATGATTTTATTGTTAAAGATGCTTTGAACTGAACTATAAATACATTTTTTTCTCACTAGCATACTTTTTTTTGACAACAGCCAAAACATCATCTGCTTCTTCATCATTAGTTACATTAGTTACAGTACAAATCTCCCAGGAGTATCAACTTTACAAATAGCATATATGTAATATGATAATTATATGTTTTAAATTTGAATGTAGGCCATGTCAGAGTACTATTTAGTGTATAGTCACCTCTTGGATTCTTACTAAAATTTCTAAAAGCATTAATTGTTTTGAATCAAAACCGAACCAGAATTTGGGTTTCATGTTCCTATGACGTCAATCTGCAAGGTAATTTTTAATACACACACGCACACACACACACATTCTTGGCTTGTTTTAGGTAAACTATTTTATTTCCATCAATTGGATGGAAGACAATTAACTAAAAGTTGATTTATTAGATTTTTCTTTTAATCTTTTTTTTTTAGATCCACTGATAACAATGATATGAAGGAAATTATGGAAATTAGGGTTTGTAGGGAACCAAAAAAAAAAGAAAAATGATAGG